AACGATACAGAGAAGATCAGCATGGTCGGTGTGCAAGGATGACACACATACAAATCGAGAAGTGTACTGAGTGTCCTGTCACTGTCAATAAATATACCCTACACCCAAAACACCCTAAACCCTAAATACATCGCCTGGCATGTCCGAGTTGTGACTCCGAGGTTGAGCCATGGCCGACCGTGGATTCCTGGATGACGATGGAGTCGCAGCCCGGATGCACAATGGGTTGAGGATTTTGGAAGGTGCCGGGTTTAGTTAGTTAGTATAGTTAGGGTAAGAACAGCAGCACCCACTCAGCACAACTTCCCAAATCATCCCATCAAATAAAAGCCTCAACTTGAATACTAGACCCAGAATCAAAACCCTGAAGCAACAAAAGCTAAACCATTGGGATTCGGTTCGGTGCAGTCGGAATTTAGGATGTGGGGTGGGTTATTTAGGGCTTAGGGTTGAGGGTTTAGGGTTAAAAATCAATCAAACACATTCAGCTGAGGGCAATATATTTGGGTTTAGAGCTTATTCATTCTCAAGCTTATCATCATTTAGGAGGCTGTCTAGGGAACCCTCAACTCAACCCACACCCCATCCGCAGCTGGCTCGGATCCGAAGACATGGCATGTCAGACTAGCCTAGGTTTAGTTTGGGGTTCAGTTTCAGATTTTAAAATTTAGGGCTTTAAACTCCAGGAGGTCGTTCTGAATAGCCGCATAGTTAGTATAGCCGCTTCGGATTCTGGGGCCTCAACAGAACTTCAATCAACAGCTCAGGCTCAGGTATCTAAATGGGCTCATGGTCACGGGCTCACCCTCTAAATAGACCCAGTCCTCAACCTTGGGGCTCGACTTAATTTACTGTACTTATGGGGTCACCTAGTCCTCAATCTTGGGGCTCGACCTTACTTAATTATGGGGTCACCTAGTCCTCAATCTTGGGGCTCGACCTTACTTATGGGGTCACCTAGTCCTCAATCTTGGGGCTCGACCTTACTTATGGGTCCTCAATCTTGGGGTTCATTCAACCTTACTTCACTGTCATTGCCTACGTCTCACCCAATGGAATCCGCGAAGGGCGGCCCTGGCACTGCAAAGGGTGGCGCTGGCAGATCGTTTTCATTTCTTGGCCCTGGATCGTTTGCTGGAGGCCGAAAAGGCGGTCGCGGAGGGGGAAAAGATCATGGTGGAGGAGG